TCAGGAACCAGCAGATAGTGGTAATGGTTACATCGCTGGGCTCTCACATAGCAGAACACAGGTGGAGTCCTGGATCCTGTGGCTTAAAATTCATGCCAGATGCATGGGTAGGCGTGCCCAAAATCCTGAGAGGAGAATGGAGGAGAAAGGATTGCAGAGTGGCCATACCCTCTGAGGGGTGATTTCTCATTTTCTCTCTGTCTCTCCAGTGAGCACACACACGCACACTATAGCAAAAGTCTTTCTAAAATAAATATCTACTTTCTTTACAACTAGTTTAATAAAATACAAAAGGAAGGAGAGAAAAAGATGTATGCCATGGTCAACAAATTGAACTAAAACCTTGGAAATACTATTTATTTATCCTGCTTAGGACTTATGATTCCTGAATCTTCAAATAAGTGTCTTTTATCACTACTGGAAAATTCTCAGCTATTACTTTTCATATATTATGTCTTCCTCCAGTTTCTCTAATTTCTCCTACTAAAATTCCTACTACATACAGTTTTTTTTTCTTTTCCCTATACTTCTTAACCTAATGCTTTTGAACTTTTTAACTCTCTCTTCTAAATTCAGTGTCATTTTTTTTCCAACATACTTTTTTTAGTTCATCGATTTTCTCTTCAACTCCATCAAAACTGACATTTAACCTCTAACCATTAAATTTGGAATATTGGTAACTTTTTCTTCACCTAAATCTCAGTTACCTTGGTCATCAAAGCAAAACACAAGCAAACTACACTCAGCATCAGGTTGTTGTAGTTCCCTCTGTTGTTGCTGCTGTCTGCTGAAAACATTCTGAACTACTTTTTCCAGAATACGTTGTTTTGACTGGCCCTTCAGTGAGCACCTAATGAAACCACATTCGTGAATTTGGATTTCCCTCAGCATTGCCACTTCCCAACTGAAACATCTGGGAAATGGTCTTCCCTTCTGTAGCTTGACTCAAGAACACTGTCATCTTGGTAGTACCAGGCTGGATGCCTAAAGCTTCAGGGAAAAGACCAGGACTTTCAGGAAAAAAATGTACTGTATCCAACAATTCAACTACAGTGGAAGTAAGCTCATGTTCTGGGAAGTTTTTCCAAAACAAGGGCAATTGTCTGTGGAAGACATAACCACAATGGTGCTATATAAACCCAAGCTTTTACCCTTAAAATCTCTGACGCTGGAAAAAACTGGGAAAAACTGCAGCAAGCAGCATGGGATAGTCTGCAACAAGAAATGACCGAAAAAGAACGATGGCGGTAACCATTGTTAGGTCCTCTTACAACAACACTTACGAGCACATCCTACCTCATTACTATTTAACAACAACTAGGAAAGAATTTTCATCTGTATGCTGAAAAGAGTATTTGTTAATAAATCTGATCGTATTTGTATGAACAACACAAAAATACCCAAGATTGATGAAACTTGTATTGCATAGTGTAAGTTAAACACTCTGGCTTGTAGTGAAACTTTGAATCAAATTCTGTAATTTTTTTCTTTTTTTAAAATTTTTTAAATATTTATTTATTTAATTGTATTTATTATTTTCTAATTTGATGAGAGGAGGAGAGAGAGGAAGAGAGACATGAGAGAGAGAGCACAAGTCACCAGGTCCAAGACTTGAATAGTGGTCGATCACGTGGGAGTCCAGCACCTTAACCACCACACCCCCTTCCAGCCCCCTTTCTTTTTTTTTTTTTTTTTTTCCTGGGGTCACATCTTTAGAATTGCAAATTAGCATTCACCCTACTCCTATTGCTATCAGTTTTATGGATAGCATTCTTGGGTGCAAGTGACTACAACTTTTATAGAGAGGATCTCTATATGGATTTGAAGGTACATTTTAATCTTGCATTAAAATGTTTATGTTGGGCTTTTTGCATTACCTGATTTTTAAAATTTTTAACAAAATTTAAACACTTTTAATATCAATCACTATTTTTTAAACTTTTTAACTCAAACTAATTTGGTATCACTGTCTTCTTTTCCCAGAGGTTTCAGTTTCTTTGTGTTTGTAATTATTTTAAACATCTTTACTTTATGGTCTCTATCTGGTAAGTACAAAGGCCAAATCCAGCTCTCTGTTTAGCCTAGTGGCCCTTGCTCACTTCGGTAGTAAAGGCGAGGAAGGTACAGACTCTCATGATAAATGATGAGCTACTACACAGTAGGGTGCTTTCTGCAGGAATCATGTACGGTCTACATAGATGTTCCCTCTGAAAAGATGTTGCCTTTCTTCTATCAGGTAATCCACAGCAAATGATTACATATGTGTGTGTATATATATATATATTTTTTTTTTTTTTTTGAGAGAGAGAGAGATTTTTGCTATATGGTGCATATGCTGGCCAAAGAAACAGAGACAGAAATCAGAAATCACCCCCCAGGAGGAATCATCCCTACGGGGGATGACCACGCCACAATCCCTTCTCTATTCTCCTCTCAGGATTTTGGGTACACAGGCACATGCACCCAGTTTTTTGTTTATTTGTTTGTGTGTTTTTTTTTTTAAGAGGTTTTTGCTATAGGGCACGTGCGCTAGCCAGACAGACAGAGAAACAGAGAGACAGAAAGCAAGAAATCACCTCCTAGGGGGGATGGCCACACCGCAATCCCTTCTCCTCCGTTCTCCTCTCGGGATCTTGGGCACGCACACACATGCTCCCGGCGTGAGTTTTAAGCCACTGGGTCCGGGACGCAAACCACAGTCGACTACATGGGAGTCCAGCGACATAGCCATTACCCTAACTGCTGGTCCCCCAGCATGAGTTTGGTTTTTTTTTTAATTTATTTTTATTTACATTTTTTAAAATACATTCAATCACATTATTTAGCTTACAAGGTGATCATTTCAATATGTGAACATTTCTCCCTGGTCCAGTTGATCAAAATATAACAACACTACCTCCCTGTCTCAACAATGCTGTCTTTGTCTCCCTCCTCCAGCTGTTTTTCCCCAGGCCCCACTCCTCCACACACACCACATCTGGCATTCACATCCATCTCTTGTGTTTGTACATCCTGTAGCCCGTCCGTTTCAATTAGGACCCTCTGGGTCTGGCTCCAACCACGGTCGACTACATGGGAATCCAGCAATAGAACCATTATGCCATCTGCTGGTCCCCACAGCAAATGTTTTTTTATGCTAATTTCTTTGCTTAAACATTCCCGGAAAAATTAGGTAGTATAAACTTGAATCTCAATCCTGTTAAGGGTAGCCTTAAAGTGTCAGAGGAGACTAAGGACATACACCAGATCCTGGCTTCATGTGTGTTTAAGGACAGAGAGGTGTCAGTTCCAACACTCCACTCCCAGCACACCAAGGTTTTCTCTTAATGATATGTAACCATTAAAACCATACATCTTGATTACAGACACTGGCACACACACACACAAAAAAGGCAAAGCAAACTACATTAAGCATCAGGCTGCTGGTCCCCTCTGTTGTTGCTGTCTATCTGTTGAAAACAGTTTGAACAACTTTTCCCAGAATCTGTTCTCTTGGTGGCCCCTCAGTGAGCATCTAATGAAACTACATTCCTGAATTTGGATTTCTTGCAGCATTACAATTGCTGAAAACTTTACTGTGGAAATGAAGTTATGTTCACATACACACTTGGCAGACAACACCACTGTTTTATTACAGCTTAACTGGCACAAGGTTCACTGAAGATACGCTTCACTTTTACACAGGCTTGTAAATAGAAAAATACACGAATGCACAAAAATATGGCAGTTTGATATCAAAGTTAAACACGTGACTTGCAAGAAGAATACAGGTTATTTACTTCAATAATTAAAGGTGGTTCTGTGTGGACACTATTTCAGTATACATTTCATTGTATATGATACATTTAAGGCCAGTGGAATCTCAAGCTAATTACTCATTTGGTTCTTGAAAATTAGAACATGAAAACATTTCTTTCTTTTTTTTTTTTTTTTTTTCATTTTTTGCTATAGGTCATGTGCACTTACTGGAGACAGACAGAGAGTGAAGAAGGAACATGAGAAGTCACTCCCTGGTGGTGACGACCACACGGCAATCCTTTCTCCTTCACCCTCCTCTCAGAATTTGGGCATGCAAGCATGTTTTTCAGGTTCCCATGTCCAGGACTCAAGCGGAACAGCTGGTCACATGGGATCCAGCACCTTAACCTCCACACCACCTGTTCACCCTACATTGTCCTATTTTTAGCTACACGAACAGACCATATCAATACGCTGCAATATGTAGCTGTAAAATTATGAAGTTTACCACTGAAGTCTGTGGCAAATGTAGAAAGGCACGGCTCTGTGGGACAGCGCCTGCGCCCCCCACCCCCCAGGCCTGGTGATTAAGAAAGCCAGATCCCACATGGCTGAGCATACGGTTAGAATCCTGGGCCAGGCAGCTTGAGGAACATGCCAGGTACATGTGTGTGCATGCCCAAGATCCCAAAGGGATGAAGAGATGGAAGAGAAGGGACTGCAACAGGACCATGTCCCATCAGGGGGTGCTTTCTTCCTCTGCATCTCTCTGACAAGCAAACACACCCTCTAGCAAAAAAAGAAAGGAAAAAAAAAAAAGGCATTGCTATGTAATTATGACTCTGCCCTTGAAGCCTATGGATATTTTCCTCGCTGGAATATACAATACAGAAACATAGACCTCAAAGGCTTCTTTGGTATTAAAAAAAAGCCCTCATTTCAAGGACAGAAATACATATAATCTTAGTGACTAAAGCTAAGTTTGTTATGGGAGGGATGTGGAGGCTCTGGTACATAGAAAAATAGGTGCTCAATAAAAAGCCCTTCGAAAACTATCATATGATTATTTTCCATCATACTTGAATTTTTCTAATTACATTTCTGCCACAAAATGCATTAATATTTTTTTCTTTATTTAAATTATGATGAGTGTTGTTCCTTCCTAAATAGCCATTCAGTTCTTTGGACATTTTAATCTATTTAAACCACTTTTATAAATAAGAATTTCCCATAAATGAAATACCTTTGAATTTATAAACAGCTTCCATGAATCATATTTTAAAGCTTTAATTTGGTATGAAGACACTTGGGCAATGTAGCAAAATACATGAATTTGGCAAGACCCAACAAAGACAGGAAACGCCCATGACCTTAATGAAAAACACCAGCTCTGGAACATTTCATTTGTCTTATATTAAGCTACAGTATAAAAGTGATGGCTTAAATACCAGCATCTCTCTCTCCCCCCCCCTGCAAATACCAGACATTGTAAACACTAATTGCTTCAATTCCACCAATGAGAAAATAAAAACAAGCTGCAAATATCCATAGTACAGAGCCTGATGGTGAAGACAGAGGATTAGCAGTCTGTAAGCTCAGTGAAACTGCAGCCCGCGGCTGCCAGACCAGCATTATAAATATAAAGAAAAAGCAGCTCAGCGTATACTTACAGCAAATGACTTCCGTGGAAGCACCAGCTATGTTGAGATGAGGCTGGCACACAGGCCAAATAAAAAGTATGGGTTTCAGTGAACTAAAGCCATCCAGTCTCATTCCCTGACCCTTCAGTCAGCACTTCAGGGCAATGGGAACTTCGCAGAGAGCCAGGACCCCCAGTTCAGCTGCTCATACTCCATTAAGCCACCCCTGCCCTACCCCCCCAGTCTTTTCCATGAACAAAAAAGTCACAGTGAGTATACAATTGGTCAACCTCATTTATCCATCATCTAGAATCATAATTTGTCCTAGATTCATGTTAAAGGGAATGACTACATAAAATGAATACTCAAAAATATCGAACTGATGTGTGTATATATTCTTATTTAACATTCAAGTGGTTTAAATGGCATTTTTAGAGATCATTTATGGCAGGTGTTTAAATTTGGGTTCAAGACTGTGATACTTCTATAATTGCTTCTAGGCCCTCAAACGGGAAAGTCCGGGCCTATCTGGTTAAGGCAGTATCTATATAATAAATACTCTTTATGACTACAAAATCTCAAAGCCTCGTATGGCCTGCTATCGGGGTGAGGTTTTTACAAGGCACTTTTGGCTCTGCGAACTATTTCCCCTAACTCTCAGGCCGAATCTTAAAGGAATATTTACAAACCTGCAACAAACTAATTTTAAAATCGGATGCTTTATTTTGAGGAGTCTAACACCTGAATTACTGTGTCACTCACAGGACTTCTTAACAGCCACACGCCCCCTTCTCCTTCTGTTCGCTAAACTGATCTGCAGAGGCGTGGCCGTTGGACCGCACCACCCCTTCAGGAATCCAGGACTTGTCCACACACCGTTCCATTCGCTTCATTATCAGGTCCAGGAGCATTTCAATTGCTTGGCTTATGTTTGTCCCAGTGGCGGCACTAGTTTCAAAGTAGGGGATTCTGGAAGACAGAAACAATTCAAATAACAACATGTGGGGGCTCAGGGGACAATGACCTTTGTCCTTTATAACTCAAATCAGAGGAAAAGCAAAGCAGAAATACACAAGACAACAAAAACATTTTGCCACCACTCCAGGGTACATTAAAAAGTGAAAAAAGAGGCCAGCAGGTCACGTGGTGGTTAAAGGTGCCATATTCCCACACGGCCAATCATGGCTCGTGCCCCGGACCTGGTGGGTTGCTTTCTCACTTTCCCTTTGTCTCACTCTGGTCAAATTGAACAATAATAATAACAAGTGGAAATAAATAAATAAGTGAAAAAGATGGTCCATCCTCAGTAGTACAGGCAGCAGGGTGCTGCTCCTCGCTGCTGAAGTCATATGGGAAGGCCCTGGGTTCAGATCCTAGGCCAACCCAGATGTGCCAGGTACTCTGGTGGGCATGCGAGCCTACAGTTGAAGAAAATATTGATACTCTTGGCAATATTAAATTTAGGATGGCGTCGGGACCAGCAGTTAGCATAATGGCTATGTTGCTGGACTCCCATGTAGTCGACCGCGGTTCGAGTCCTGAACCCAGTGGCTTAAACTCACGCTGGGCACGTGTGCGTGCGTGCCCAAGATCCCGAGAGGAGAATGGAGGAGAAGGGATTGCTGCGTGGTCATCCCCCCTGGGGGTGATTTCTTGCTTTCTGTCTCTCTGCCTCTCTCTGTCTGGCGAGCACACACGCTCATAGCAAAAAAATCTCAAAAAAAAAAAAAAAAAGATGATCTTTGACCAAATTAAATGGCTGTGTTTCATATCCCTGAGAAATAGTTTTGCATTCAAGAAATACAAATAATTCTTCAAATTAATTAAAATGTTAGATAATACAAAAACAAAGGAAATGAACAGAAAATTCTCAGAAACAATACTTATGAAAAAAAAAGTTTATCCTTGCCAAAAATAAGGAAAACACAACCTAAAACAATAGCGTATTAATTCACACCCTACAGACTGGCAAAAATACAAAATCTCTCAACACCAAGTGTTGCAAAGGATGCAGGACAAATGACCTCATATTGGGATTACTTTGGTAAACAATGTGCAAACTGGTAAAGCTGAAAGTGTGGGGACCACCATGCGGCATAATGGTTAGGGCCACCACATGGCCGACTGCGGCTTGCGTCCTGGACCCAGCAGCTGGAAGCTCAGGCAGGCACATGTGCATGTGTGCATGTGTGCCCAAAACCCCAAGAGGAGAGTGGAAAGGGACTGCAGTGTGGCCATACCCCGGGAGGGTGATTTTCTACAATTCTGTCTCTCTGGCTCTCCGGCAAGCGCATGCACCCTATAGTAAAAAGCTCTCTTTAAAAAAAAAAAAAAAAGTGTGTACACACTGTGACACAGCAACACCATCCAGACAGACAGCCTAAGGCAGAGTCCCAGCATGTGATGTGCAGAAAATGAGTTACAGGTCCACCGAGATATCCCGGGTCCCTCAGTCCTTGAGGCAGCCAAAGTTCCTTGAGCAACTTTGTCAGGGTCTGTGGGCGAGCGGGACAAATACCCTTTTCTGTGCGAGCCGCGTGGTGGGAGCTATTGGGAAGCGCTGTCCCACAGCCGTGCTATGTCCCACAGCCGTGCTGCGTGCAGAACCCACCCCAACAGCAGAACGGTCCGTTCCGTGTCTACGCTGTCTCACACGGTAACCAGCAGCCACATGTAACTACTGAGCACTGAAAACAGAGCTAATGCACCCAAGGACCCAAATTTTTTATTTGAATGCATTTTGATTCTGATCGCTATATTTGGCTCATGGCTATTGTACTGGACAGCACAGGCTTGGAGAAATGGTCAGTCTGCACACACGGCATTACCTCCAGGACAGTGACTGCGGTACTGCTGCAACAGTGAAAACTCTAACCTACATGCCCATCCACGAGTACCTGGACAAGGGAGCCGTGCGGTTTTCACACAATACTTACGATGTAGTAACATGGCCCAGAGCCCCTAAACTAAATATTGAATAAAAAACAATTTATGTGATATGAGATACTTTGTGTAAAGAACACAAAATAATCATACTTCATTATAAAAAACCATACCTCTATCATAGATATACAACTTCTTGGGCTAGAAATAGGTCATTTGCAATGCTTTTCAACTAAAAGTTACAGAGAGTTATAGTCCATATTGGTATAAAATACAAATTTATTATATTGCAAAATGAGTCCCCAAATACAGAGCTTCTTATATTGACTAATTTAGTGGCTGAAAACACAAACGAAGGCCCGAGAGGCTGCAATCTTTCTTTTCTCTCTCTTTTTTTTTTTCGGAGAGGGTTTTGCTATAGGGCATGTTCGCTCG